GCGCCGTCCGGCCCAGCGGCAGCGCCGGTGCGGCGACGTGCGAAGGCGAGGAGGCGGGACTCGAGGGCGCCCCATTGGAGGGCCACGAGCACGTACTCGGCGGTGCGGGCCATGTCCAGCTGTCTCGCCGCGCGCCGCTCCTTCAGCACTGCGGCGCGGCGGGGCAAGGTGGAGTTTGGGCCCCATGAGTCGCACGGGACGGCGGCGTTAATTTCTGGGCGCAGTTCGACAAAAACCAGGGCGGCCGAGCGGGCGCACGCTGCGCGGCGGCGGCGCTCGCTGGCGCACACATGTCAGCCGAGGGGCCCGCTCGATTGCTTGCGGGCATGTACTGTACATGAGGCAAACATTTTGAATGTAAGGCGTGCAGGAATCGGCTGTCGGCAGGCAGCACTGACCTGTCTGGCGCAGCCGGCGGACGGCGATAGCCAGGTGATGCAGCCCCTGGGTGTCGCACAGGAACTGCACCAGCAGCGCGGCCGCGGCGCTGCGCCCGGCCTCCGAGCCCGAGCCGTTGGCTAGGTGCCTGCGTGGAAGGGGGGGCGCGTGTGCGCCGGGGCGCCGCTCGGCTGCGAAGCCGGCACGCATGCGGACGGGGTTTGTGGCGTGGGCGCTGCGTGGGCCGGCCGCCCGTGTGGGCCGCCCTCCTTTTTGGGGGTGGTGCGCCGCCTTCCCATCAGGAGGGTGGGCGCTCCGCCGGCAGACGGGCGCTGCGCACGTACAGCGAAGTGAATCCGTCCCCGGGATCGCACCTCCGGTAGCCGCGCTGCAACGCGACCGCCGCCCGCTTTGCCCTCAGGAAGGCCTTGCGCTGCCAGTAGCCCTAAGTCGGCCGCGGCGACGAGTCAGAGCGACGAGCGGCATGTCCCGCAGAGTGAGCGGCCCAGGCACGATGCCTGACTCAAGCACGGGTGTGCCCACTCATTGAACGCTGCAAAAAACGGAACATAAGCAGGCAACGTGCCTTTGTGCAAACGGCCAGGCCGCCGCAAGCAAAAGGCCGCGCACCCGCCAGCACTTTTGGATGACGACCACTGCCTCCTCGGCGTGCTGCATCCGCGCCCGCGCCGCCCTCAGCTGCCGCGCCGCTGCGAGCCCCGCCGCGAGCTTCGACGTCGCCCGCACGACGGCGGCGAGCCGCGCGGCGCGCCACTCGCGGCGGCGCGCGGCGTCTAGCGCGGCCTCGCGCGCGTGGCGTGCGGCGCGGCGCGCGTCCAGCAGCTGCGCCGCGCGCAGCTTCGCGGCCAACCCCTCCTCGCGCCGCCGCTCGCCCTGCTGCTGCACCTGCGGTGTTGGGGTTGCGTGTGCGTGTGCAGCTGACTGTGCGGCACCAATCATTTGTCCAACGAGTCTCTCACTTTAAGGAGCAGCATTCTTGGGTCTACATATGCCGTGTCCGAGCCCGTAATCAGCAACGCGGGTTGCTCGGCGCGCACAATGCTGCGCCGCAGCCAGCAGGCCGGTGGGCACGGGCAGAGCGGGACCCGCAGCACGCGTAGCGTGTGCGTGCCTGCTCCTCGTGCTCCCGGCGCTCCGCAGCCAGCTGCCGCTGCGCCGCCGCGCGCTCCTCCGGGGACCTGTGTGCACGGACGGGGCGCGGTGCGTGGTGGCGGGCGGCCCGTACTATTATGCCAGCTCGCTGCAGCAGTCAGGGATAGCGGCGTCCGCACGTCAGTCTGCAGCAGCTCCTGCAAATGGATGAAGACGGCCCGCTTCGCCGCCCTGATGTCGCTGCCTAAAGTACCACCCCTCGCGACCCCAGCAGCACACGCATGCACACGCGCAAGCGCGCGCATGGGGCTGCCCCAGCCAGCAAGACCCACATGGCACTGGCCTCTATGTTGTGCCGCAGCAGCGCCTCCCGCTCCCGCCGCGCGCCGGCGTCCTGCTCCGCGTACGCAGCAATGCGGCGCTGCAGCGCCTCGCGCGAGGACGCGTCCTCCCGCAGCTCCTGCATGGGGTGTGTGCACGCATGAATGCATGCATGCATGCATGCGCATGCGTTCCTCGGGCCATGAAAACGCGCCATGCGCTTAGCCCCAGCTCGCTTCCGCGCCCCATGCAAGGGCACCGCCAACAATCACATGGCAGCTGCTGAGAAACCCCAGGTGCCGCCGCCGGCCCTTCAGCAGCGGCCTGCGCTGCCAGAGCCCCGCCCTGCAGGCCCTGCGCCACCAGTTCCGTGCGCGCTGGGCCGGCGCCTGCCGCCGCAGGCGGCTCGCCGCCGTCAAGCGCACTTCAGCCCGCACCTACCTGCAGCGCCTGCTGCACCCGCTGATCTGCATGCGTCATCAGCTGCCTGGGCTCCCGCTGGGGTGATGCAATCCCCAGGCCTGGCAGGCCGCTCGCTGCAGGCGCCAGTTGGGGCGGGCCGCCACCGACGAGGGCTGGCGCGGCAAGGGGCAGGGCTGCGGGGTCGGGCTTGGGCGCATGAACGACCGCGAGCCTCGCGCTCGCGGCGGCGGACGGCAGCTGCAGCGGAGCAGCGTGCGGCTCGTGGTGCCCCGTCACGCGTGACCCAGCTGTTAATGTAATTTGAAAACCTCGCTCGGCTCACCGGGAAGCTTGGCGACCATCGAGGGCCTGTCGTCTGCCACATCAACCAGCCGCCCGCCTGACTTTTTCGGGCTCCGAGGACTGGCGCCGGCGCTCTTGGGCTGAGAGCGCATGCTCTGCTGCCGCAGCTGCTGCCTGGAATCCCATGCGGGGCTGGCCACCTGGGGGCTGGCATAGGCTGGCGATGGGTCGCTGCAGCAGGATGCACCCCGAGAAAGGCCAGCACAAACGTCGGTGTTTGTTGGAGCATGCCGGCCGGTTGCTTAGACCCATGTCATTCGGTTGCCCAAGCAGGCATGGCGCAGCAGGTGTGCCCCCCTTGCACTTGCAGCATGCATGTGTGGTCGCTGCCGTGCAGGTTGGCCGGTTGCGGTAGGGAACAGGGCCACGTTCAAACGTCTGTTTTGTGTACGGTGAGACAGCATGTCATCATGATGCCATAATTGCATCTCACCGCGCGCCTGCCAGCCTCCGTTGCTGCCTCAGCTGGGTTCCAAGGTTTGACAGATCTAGGGAGCCAGCCGGCGCCACGCCATCACCGCCGCCTTGCTGCAATTGCAGAGCGGTGTGCTGGGCGGGCGATGGCGGCAGCGGAAGAGGGAGCGGGAGCAGGCGCCGCTGCGGCTCAGTGGACGCGGCTCGCCGCCGCTGACCTCCGACGAGCTGCTGCGGCGCCGACGGCCGCTCTGCATCCCGCTGCGGCGACGGGGTGCCTGCCGCGCGCGCCGCGCCGACACGGGTGGCGTGCCTGGATGGTGATCGAAGCCCACCGCTCGCAACAGGTGAGGGGAAAACGGAGGGCAAGAGAGATGCATCCCATGAGCTTCTTAGACTTTTCGTCTCGAGGTGTTGGGTGGGCATGGCGAGCAGTCAACGCGATTGATGCTGCAGATCATGTCACGTAAGTGGCGCGTCGTATCACGTTATCTTGTCGCGTTAAGCTTGCTTTGACAACTCGCCCTCACATCCTAAGCGCCCCACCTGCACCATTACTGTCACCCAGCGTCCCACCAGCGTCATTGTATTTACTCGCTCCAGGGTCGTTGTGTGTACACGTTGCGGTCTGGTTATTGAAATCAGACCAAGCACACCTTGTGGTTGGGCCTGCCGCCGGGGTCCCAGCTCATTCGCAAGTGGGTCGGCGGCTGGGCTGGGGCTTCGGACACACACAGTCGTACTGCCGTAGTCCTGGGCTTGGGCACCAGCCACATACAGTCTTACTAGTACCGCTGAACCTAGTACAATGCATCCAGCCAGGCAATTCCACATCATGTTACCTTGTGCGAACTGGGCCGAAAAATCTCACTTGTCCATGACGACGGCTAGCGCAGGAATTATTCCCCGCCAGGCACCTGGCAGCAGCGGCGGCACGACGACGGTGCATGATTGCTTTGATGACTCCCTTGGCAACAAACCACGCGCATGCGTTGCTTGAATGCCGTTCAGGCCTCTGGCCATGCCGCGCTCACACACAAAGCTTCCGCGCGTGCTTGGGCCTCGCCACCTTCTGCACCCAGGCGCCTTTCGCACGTCAAGCAGTCCCAGCGCCTGCCCCGGCGAGTGCGCTATGACACTGGCAGCCCGTGCGACGTGGAGCTTCGGAACCCCGGAAGCGTGATGTTATGGCGGCGGCTGCACACCTCCACTCCAGCTGCTGCTTGCACGCTGCAGTAGCGCTCTCAGCCCAATGCACACTAACCCGCCGCACGGCTGCTTTGGTATGTGCGCACTGGATTGCAGAACAAGCTGAAATGGCACATGACGCATGTTGCTGGTAGTCCTGACATGGTGCACCCTCCGCAAAAGCACAGGACTGCAGCTGATGAGTCAACAAGTTGCCGATGAGCACAAGTGATGAAGCAGCGACCGAGCAACGCGTTGTGACCAACGCAGTGCCAAAGGTCTACGGTACCGGGTCTAGCGGAGTGATTTTTGTATAAACTCGTCATTAGAATGTTGATGCGCGCTCCCCTGCGCCTTACGTGGATCACCGGTGGCGCGAACCTCCTTGCTGTTCGATCAAGTCTGGCATCCGCAAGCGTGCGAGGAATGGTGTCTGCAAAGCAACAACTGGATCCGCGTGCTGCGGCCGTGCTGAAGTTCTGGTAAGGCAGGCTGGTTCCTATCAGCAAGTGCTGCATGCGTCCTGCAGCATTCGATGCCATGCTTTGCTGGAGGTGCTGTACAAATGCGGCGCGCGAATCGTCCACATACTAATAATACAACCCCACTGATGCGACTTTGTCAATTATGGCGCTGCTCCTGGCGCCCCACTCGAGCATGCCGCCTGCCTGGGCCCGCGCACACAGTACTGCGCCCTGCCTTGGTACGTGCACCCGTCCAGCAGCATGCGCCCAGCAGTAACCCCCACTGCCGCCCCAACCCGGCCCCCGCCCTACCCCCAGGCTCGGCGACCAAGCGGTTGACGGCGACAACGTCAGCGCTGCGGCCCTCGCCCAGTGGCCCGCGGAACGCGAGAAGCTGTGGTGGCGGGGCGGCCCAGATCTGGACGCTGAGATCAAGGCCAAGTTTGGGCGCGACCTGGAAGCCGTGGCGGCGGGCGAGCTGGACGGCTGGGAGGACCCTACCGGCACCAACCCCTTGAACACGCTGGCGGGGGTCATTTTGATGGACCAGTTCAGCAGGTGATTCTTGAGCCCAGTTTCAGGGGCAGGAGGGGGTTAAGGGATGATACGGCGGCGCGCGGGTTCTGCCTGGGAGGGCGGCGTGGCGCATGTGGGGGGCGCGGGTGGCATAGGGGCAGGCAGGGGTGCAGCGAGGGGTCAGGGCTTCCTTGGGTCAGGGTGCTGCCCCTCGGACAGTGCATGCAACGGCATGGTCACGAGCGCATGCTGGCTAATGAGGTCTTTTTCGGCCCAAATTCTTCTCTTGCGACGGTATTGATGTTCACTCATTGAAACCTGCCACACTGCCACGTATGACCTCACCTTTCTGGCTCTGTCGCACGCATGCGCTCGTGCACGCATGCTTACACGCTTGTAGTGCGCACACGCGCACGCATGCACGCACACAACACACGCACACACACGCACACGCACACGCACGCGCACGCGCGCACACACACACACACACACACACACGCACACAACACATGTACTCACATGCACGCGCGCGCGAACACACACACATACACACACACACACACAACACACGCACTCACACGCACGCGCGCACGAACACACACACATATGCACGTGCGCGCACACACGCACACACACACACGCACACACACACACACACACACACACACTTCGCTGGCAACCCAGGAACGTCTACCGTGGCACCCCTGGTGCATTTGCGCTCGACCCCAAGGCGCTCTCCTGGGCGCAGCGGCTGGCAGCCCTGGAGGAGGCCCGCGCGTGGCCCCACAGCTTCAGGGTGAGTCAGCGCTTCTGCTGACTCCTGTATCCGAGTCCACATCCATAGCCTGTGTTGCCTCTATGGCTCCCAGCAACACCTGCTTTGCATTCTCCGGCCGTGGTCCAGGCGGCCCTTGTCCAGCCAGCGGCGCATGGTCCAGCCAGCGGGCGAGCTGTCGCAGCCCGGGCCCGCCACCCTGGGGGCAGGCCGGTGGAAGTGGCCCGGTTGGGCGGCCGCAGCTGCTGTGCAACTCGCTGCATTACATGATCAACAAGGGGGCTCGCCTTGCCCTCCCATCCTCTTGCAGATTTGGATATTCATGTGCGGGGCTTGCCCATTTTTGGGAGTGCAGCGGGCGGAGAGCATTGGCATGTGCCTACACGCACGCTGGGGCCTTCCCGTGCGCAGCCCAGCACGTGTGCATGGCCTGCCTCATGTTTTCATCACCGCTCTGTCCTGCAGCCCACACTTTGTGCCGTTTACAATTCAGCAAAAAGGCAATCCTTCTCACCGGCTGTCGGTCATCAATCTGCGCAACCGCAGGCCATTCGAGCACAGCGAGAGCCTCGAGATGCAGGAGGTGGGGCCTGCACGGCGCATGCGTGGGCGTCTGGCGGCGCCCCGGCCTGCCTGTGACTGGTGACACCCTTGAAGGCCTGGTTGGCCCGCCCCCTCCACGTAACACCTCACTCTTCAAGCCGTGCGCAGCCAACAGGCGCCGCCCTTGGCCGGTGTGTTATCCCCTCCGCCCCTCCCCCAGCGCTGCATCGCCCTGTTTGAGGAGGAGGTCGCGCGCGCAGAGGGCGGCGACGGGCCCCCAGAGGCGGCCGGCGCGGCGAGAAGCGTCCTGGGCTATGCGCACGCCCACCTGGCGGTCATCAAGGCGTGGGGCCGCTTCCCGCACCGCAACGCCATCCTTGGGAGGTGAGGCGGTCAAGTGCCAGGCGTCCAACTGTACAGATTCTTGAGGTGCCGAGCTCTTGCAGATACCCCTTTGCGCGGGAAGGCAGCGTACTGACCGGCCTGCGCGCCCGCCTTTGTAGGGAAAGCACGCCGGAGGAGATCGCGGGGATGGCGGACGGCAGCATCCGCAAGTTCTAGGCGTAGAGGATCGTCGTGGCCGAGCGGACATTGAGCGGCGCCAGTGAGGGAAGAGGTTTCGCAGGTCACCAGTGCCCATTTGAATGTGAGCGTGCGCGCCGCAGCACTGCAAATTAATACTTGGATTCTATGCAAAATGCAGTAAATCTAAGCAGGGGATTGTTGCGTATTGGTTGCAACGGCGAATCACGGGTTTGTCAGCTGTCCGTGGCTGCCAGCAAGGCCACGGCGCCCCTGCCACGTCAGCCGTACTGTCATGTGCCGGTATTGCCATCGCAAGCACGAAATTGTGCGCTCCTTCCCCTATGAAAATCTCTAGAGAATTTGAATTTATCGCCTTAGGAGCTGCTCCCCTGTTCATAAGCTCGCCCGCGAAACCCCTCCTGAACGGCTCCAACCTATGGTCACTCGAGCGCGATGGTCACCCGTCCTTCTCATTGCCGTCGGCGTTTTCGGCAACGACTCATACTTTCCTATGAATGCGACGATTTGATCGCGCACATCGAAGTTCGTGTGGGGATTCGCCACGGTTTCCGGTGGAGAAACATCGCGACCCGTTTTATGACCATCTTGTGAAGCGCCAAGCAGCCATGGGTCTGCAAACCGCGTTGGCGTCCGCGCTGCTCTATGGCAGCATGCAGCAGAGCGGCCTCCTGAGCGTCACGGACCTCACGCGCGCGCCGGCCTGGTCCCTCACCAACGCCAACGGCAGCGTCTCAGTCAGCAATGCCGCCCTGCCTGCGTACGTTCTGGAGGTGCTCGAGAAGCGCAACATCATCCCTGACCCCCTGCAGAGGTGGGTGGCGCTGCCTTTGCGAGCTGTGTGCGTGTGTGTGCGGGCCTAGCATGTAGCATGCGTGCAGAAAGGAGCCAGCGCCGCGGCTGCGAGTTCTGCAAGGGTGGCCCGGGCCACTCGTGTGATGAGACCCCCAACAGCAGACATCACGTCGACAGCGCGCACAGTGGATCCGTCCCACGACCTGTGAAGATCACGCCACAGCGTTCAATCACAGCCGCCGGATTATACATTCGCACGCAATAATACTGCATTCGCGCCCGGCTGGTCTCTCATACACAACCCAACGTCCCTGCCTCGCCCCAGGTTCAACGAGAAGCGCCTGGCCTGGGTCAGGGACGACACCTGGACCTTCAGCCGCGAGTTCACGCTCTCCGCCCCCTGGACCGGCGGCGAGCTCGTGCTCGCCGGCGTCGACACCGTCGCCGACATCACCCTCAACGGCCAGCGCCTCGGGCGCGTCGCGAGCGAGCACCGCACGCACAGGCTGGCCGTGCCGGCCGGCCTGCTGCGCAGCAATGGGGCCAACAAGATCTCTATTGAGCTGAAGCCTGTGAAACAGGAGGCCCAGAAGGACCAGAACTCGTACGCCTACACGGTGCCGTCGGTGGCGCACCTGGGGTCGTTTGCGGAGCACAAGGCCTTCATCCGCAAGGCCGGCTCCGACTTTGGCTGGTGGGTGCGCGCGGTGGGACGTGTCCGGATTGAGGGATTGAGGGAGTAGGGCGCGATCAGGCTGTTTGCTGTTTTGCAGGTGTGAGCCCAGCTGCTGGGGGTTGCCAAGCGAAGAGCACATCGTTATCTGCGAGGCGAGATGCTGCCTCGCAGCGTTCTCTGCCCGCAGCCGCCCCAAGCTGCCCACCTGCATCGCCCTGCCGCTCATCCCTATTGCACCCCCGCCCTCCAAAATCCGCCCGCAGGGACTGGGGGCCCGCCCTGGGGCCCGTCGGCGTGTTTGGGTCGATCTACCTGCTCGCCGCCCCCGCCGCCCCCGAGGCCGGCTCCTACCTCCAGGCTGCCCACATCCGGCAGCTGCACAGGGATGACAAGATCCAGCTCAAGGTCCACGCAGTCGTCTCGAAGCCCGCAACTGGGTCTGATGCGAACGCCCCCGCCCCTGCCGGCACTGCCAAGTTCGTGATCCCAGAGCTCAGCATCGACGTGTCCAAGCAGTTCTCGGGCAGCGAAGACGATTTCAAGGAGGGCGGCGCGTGCCGGCGCGTGGCGAGCGGCGAGGGCGGCTCGAGGGCAGAGTGCAACGTGTTTGTTGAGGTGGGTGAGGGTGGAAGGCGGGCGGGTGGCGGTTGCGGGTGGTTGGGCCGTCACTGTAATCTCGGATCAGCATTGGCATCACAGCGCCATCTCAAACGGCAAGATCTCCACTCTGGGATTGTCTCCCCGCTTAGTCCAAAGCCTCAACACCTGACAATCACGCAATGGCAGCGCATCTGCCGCGATGAAGCATTATAGCCTCAAGTCATCCCCACCGGAACAGCAGCAGCAGCGCCGGCAGCGCCCGCCTGACGCCACCCGACGGCCCTCGCCGACGGCCGCCCCTCCTCTGACATCACCACCACGGCCAACCGCCCCTCTGTCTGCCTGACCCGCAGGTCGACGTGCCTAAGAGCCAGGTGGAGCTGTGGTGGCCGGCCGGGCACGGCCCCCAGAGGCTCTACGATGCCACCGTCACGTGGCAGCCCGCGGGCGGCGCCGCCAGCTGCTCGGATGCTGCTACCCTCGACGCCGACGATCCCGCCGCCCTCGAGTCCAAGGCCGGCGCGTTCGCCGAGGCCGCCGCCGCGGCGCCCGCGCCCGCGCAGCAGTTTGGCTGCTCGGCGGCGAAGCGGCTGGTGGGGTTCAGGACCGTGGAGCTGGTGACGCAGCCGCTGGCGGAGGCCGCTAAGGAGATGGCGCCCGGCGCGCCCGCGCCCACCGGCGGCGACGCGGAGGGTGGGTGTACTTGCCGCAGCGCAGGACAGTGTCTTTTTCTGCAGCGGCTGGGCGCTCCTGTTTGCAGGCTTGGGGAAGCCGGCCCGCGGCGGGTGTTGGAATTCTGGACAGGTGTTTATGCACTCCCAACCCCACAAGATCCTGGCTCCCCAGCTTTGCACTGCACCCTCAACTCCTCTCAAGCTGCGTGCCGGGCGGGTTTGCTCCTGTGCATCCCCCCTTCCCACTGCACTACCCGGCACCCACCACCTGCCCCACCCAGTCTCGCCCCTAAACCCAGCACCAGGGCCCATCCAAGCGCTAATCTCACCAACCTCTACCCTCACCAACACAGCCCGTACACACACACCCCCAC